GTACACTGTCAAATCAGATCTGACTGGTTCAGGAGGAGATTGTCTCTCCTTCTCCAGCAGAGCCTCTGGTGGATTTGAACTGCTCACCTCTGGGATTGCAATGCAGCTTTTTGCCACTAGGCCACCAGAGCTCACCAAAAACCAGTATTTTTAAAAAAGAAATGTTGGCTATCTGTTTGGTTTCTAAAGAGGTGGAACTTAAAATATCTACTCTGTTAATTTTGGCACAAATCTGCCAAAGTCCATCTGAGATTTCTTCCTTTTATTATTATTATAATTATTATTGTTATTATCGTGATTGTGTGTTGACTCTTGGTAACAGTAGCCAGGAAGCCAGGGGATGAATTGCATTGGGAAAGTCAGCTGTGAGGGAACTCTCAAGAGTACTGAAGAGCAACAATGTCAGGCTGGAGACTAAGGTGTGCCTGATCTAGGCTATAATCTTTGCAATTACGTGCTATGCATCAGAGAGTTGGACAGTGAATAGGGTTGATAGAAAGAGAATTGATGCCTTTGAGCTGTGGTGCTGGAGATGAGTGTTGAATATACCACGGACTGCTAGGAGAACAAACAGCTTTGTCCGGAAGAAAGTGAAGTAAAAATGCTCCTTGGAGTCAAGGATTCTGAAGCTTTGTCTGACATACTTTGGGCATGTTGCAAGGAGGGACTGGTCCTTGGAGAGGGATATCATGTTTGGCAGAGTGGAGGGACAGCAAAGGAGAGGAAGACCCTCGATGAGATGGATCGATTCTGTGAGTGGAATGAATGTGTTTGAGGTGGCGAGGTTGGCATAGGATAGAACGGCATTTAGGGCTCTTGTGCATAGGGTTGCTATGAGTCGCAAGCAGCCCGATGGCACATAACAACAACAACAATTGTGATTGGAGTGAAACTTCACAAAGCAAGTTGGTTTTCCATTCCACCATTCATATGTATTTTGTTTATGACATTAATCACAGTACTCATAAAAAAATGTCAGGTCTGTGATCCTCATTTCCATTGATCTTTCCATCCTAACCTTTCCTGCCTTCTGGGCTTTCTCCTTGAGTAAGTGCTGCCCTTTTGACTTTATATGGCTGGTTATTCTACAGATTGAGCCCCTCACTGGTGCTGCTGGTGGTCGCCTTATAAGCTCAAACTCACGGCTGTCAATTATTTGGCTGAACATTAAGTCACGGTCATGAGTTTTGTTTCCGATCCAATGGATGACTAAAGGTCCTAGTCTTGGGGGTTCCACCAGTCTCTGTTGGACACCTATTTAAGATTTCTTGGCAATTCCTATCAAGAATGATCCAGTTCTATTAAATATCTCTAGGTATCATAAAAACATAAGCAGTAAGACAAAAGATACAGCAACGTTAGACTGGTTTGCCATCTTCAACTACCATCTCGGGGGGACTTTATCTTGCAGCTCAGCCTCAGAAGAGCACAGCTGTGTGGAGACAGGAAGTCAAGAACCAATGGCTATTTACTTCACCAGTGGGACCACCGGCTCTCCCAAGATGGCGCAGCACTCTCAGAGCAGCCTCGGTATTGGGTATACACTCTGTGGGAGGTAAGGAATTCTCTTCCTCCTGACCTACTACATGGGCCCCCAACTACCTAGCTGATAGCTCTACTTGGATGGCAATTGGATCGTGCCAATGTAACACTTGCAAAAGAGTTCTTGATGCCCTTGTCCTCCTCAGCCTCAGTGAAAGACACCAATTGGCCAAGCAAGAACTAGGATTCAACTTTCATTCAGTCCCCACAGCAGTAGAACTAGTTCCTTTTCCTCAATCTACAAACCCTGTTTAGTTTGCCTCATAGCTTATGGCCATTTCAAACTGTATTTATTCACTGTGTGCTATTCACTATCTACTGGAATGAAAGATCAGAGATGTCTGCTCTATCTTGCTCATGCTATTAAGATAGTATCTAGTACATGATAGTTGTGCAATAAATACTTATGTCAAGGTGAGCTCTGGTGGCCTAGTGGCAAGAAGCTGCACTGCAATCCAAGAGGTGCACGGTTTGAATCCACCAGATGCTCTGCTGGAGAAGGAGGAACAATCTCCTCCTGTACCAGTCAGATCTGATTTGACGGTACACACAAAAAAATAATAAAATTTAAAAAAATACATATGTCAATGGATGAGCTCTGAAAATTAGTTCAGACTCATCTTCTCACTCCACTCTCAGATCATCTAGAGTTCTAAAAGGCACTTCTCATAGGAGGAGATAGTCTTTCACTCTGTCAAGGAATAATTTTTGACCATGAGGTTCAAGGGCAAGACCCTGATTACTGTTGAGATGATTCTGACTCATAATGACCCTATAAAATGGAGTAGAAACACCTCCAGATTTTCCTAAGGTTGTAATCTTTGCAGGGTTTTTCAGCCCTGAGAAGCTTTTTCACTTGCAATGCAACTGAGAATGAGTGACAGAAGAATTGATGCCTTTGTGCTGTGGTGTTGGAGAAGAGTATGGAATATCCCATGGACAGTTAAAAGAACAAAAGACAAATATGTCTTGGAGAAGGTGCAGCCAGAGTGTTCCCTTGAGGCAAAGATGGCAAGGTTTCATCTCACATACTTTGAGCATGTTGCTAGGAGAGGCTATTCCTTGGAGAGGGGTACCATTCTTGGAAAGGTGGAGGAAGGTTAAAAAGAGGAATACCCTCAACCAAATGGATTGTTGCAATGGTCTCTACTGTGTCAGGAGGTGTGAGGGTGGCACAGGGTGATAGGACAGGACTCAGATCATGGGATCGCTATGGGTCATTCTCGACTCCACGGTCCCTAACTGCAACAGCAATCTTTATAGGAGGGAACTCTGCTGGCCTAATGGGTACGGAATTGTGCTTCCAAACCAAAGGCATGTGGTTCAAATCAATTAGCTGCTCTGAAGGAGAAAATGGGCAGTCTCCTCCCATGCAATTTATAGACTCCAAAATCCAGCTGGAGGGTCAGCTATGAGTTGGTTCCAACTCAAAGGCACACAACAGCAACAACCTTTACAGGAGCAGATCTCCACATCTTTTCTCCTACAGGTCAACAGGCAGATTCAGGCCCCTGACCTTGTGGTTAGCAGTCAAGCAATTACTCACTATGCCACCAGAGGTCCTTCTGTGGCATTCCTCAAAACACACTCATTTGTTTGCTTTGCTTGACCTGCTTTCTTTCTTCTTCATATCATTTAGGTACTGGCTGGACTTGAAGCCCTCAGATATCATCTGGAACATGTCTGACACCGGCTGGGTCAAGGCTGCCATCGGCAGCGTGTTTTCTTCCTGGCTGCATGGCGCCTGTGTTTTTGTGCATCGGATGGCCCAATTTGACACAGATATCTTCCTCAATGTAAGCCATGACCTTCAGCTGCATTTCTAGATCACCTCTTGTCTCCCAGATTCCTCAGAGCTTCTTGGGTGTAGAGAAAGAATTTCTTTTTAAAGAAGTCAATTCCCCATGGCACCCGCAGGCATGAAATCCAGTCTTCTGTTTCAAATTGTTCAGAATTCGCTATTGTCATTAAGTCTGTGGCTGTCCCCAAGCCTAGTTCTAAATAACAGATTAGAAGTCTTAAGTCTAAACAAATATTTGGTTTCTGATTCAGTGAAACAACGATAAGAGTTGGTAAACCTGAACCCTGTAAGGAGATTGGGGGGGGGGGTCACCATTTTCCCAGAGATGCCCTTTGCATCCCTCCCCCTGACCCCTACTTCTCACTTGATTCTTTCTCAGAGCTTAACACTCTTCTAGAATCCAGGCACGGCCTTTCCTCCCAGCCAGAGGTGGCGGGTTTGAGAGACCAGAGAGCTCAGATTTCTCCAGCCTTTAGAAAAACATGTCTCAGGACACATTTTTGTCAACCATGAAAAAAATCAATTAAGTCTAACAAAATGCCTATTATCCAACAAACAGCACACCTGTGTGTGAACGAAAGCCACATTCACCTGGTTATTCTGCTAACTGGTTTGACAAGGTGGCTTGAGGGTCTTAACAGAAATCAAGGGTGACTAAGAACTAGCATTTCAATGTGGGGTTTGCAAAGTAACCAGGAGCTGGTATGTAAATTTTTTACTTTAAAAAAAACCAAAAAAACCTACATTTACAAAATAAGAATACAGGCATATTTCATTTAAAGTCAGCAGCAGTGTGCCTTTCGGAGACTATGTTTTTTGACAAATTAAAGATCTGTGGCCACCAGGCATTGAGCAAGCCTTTGGCACCATTTTCCCAACACCCTGTGCTCATTTCGTGTCTCTGTGTTACAATTTGGTAATTCTCACAATATCTCATACCTCTTGACACTGCTATGGCACGCTTCGTATGCTACTATTTGTGCTGTTGAGTTGGAACTGACCCATAGCTGACCCTCCAGAGGGTTTTCAGAGGCAGTAAATTGCATGGGAGGAGATTGCCCACCCTTCTCCCATGGAGCAGCTGATGGGTTCAAACCTTGTGTCTTTGGGATGGCAGCCTGGCTCGTTACCACTAGGCCACCAGAGCTCCTAGACTATAATATATCATGGACATTTATATGCATTGGGAGGCAAAACTCTTTTTTTTTTTAAATTTAGCAAAACTCTTTTGTTGCTCACCATATGGTGATGGCCACTTTATTGCAGTAATCTGGAGTGGGATTAATACTATCTCTGAGGTCTACCTGTAATATTCACTCACCAAGGTAATATGTGTATTGCAAGTGCTGTAACAAGCTTTCTGAATTTACATTACTCTTAATTATATGCTTTATACTTCAATTAGAATGAAGGGAGCACATACAGAACAGACACGCTAATGTGCAGAGCAAATGCTATCTGAGGAAGAAAAAAAGCTATCTGACATATAAAGGATAAGTGAGGGTGAATGTAACTGATGTCACTGGGTTATGTATTTAATGCCAAAAATGTTGTTATGTGCCATCAAATCACCTGCAACTCATAGCAACCCTATGTACAACTGCCCTAAACCCTGCTCTATCCTGCGCCAATCTCATTGCCTCTGACACACCCATCCCGATTACCCCAGTCACTGAATCAATCTGCGTCATAGAGGGTCTTCCTCTCCTGTGCTGTCCCTCCACATGATGTCCCTCTCCAAGGTCTGGTCCCTCCATGCAACATGTCCAAAGTATGTTAGACGAAGCTTCAGAATCCTTGCCTCCAAGGAGCAGTCTGGTTTAACACTCCATATACTTAAAAATAATTTGCATCATAAGTTTTGCATTCTCTATAGTTTTGCTGTTGTTTTGTTAGCTAAAGAAGCCCTGGAGGTACCGTAGTGAAGAGTTTAACAGTTTCATCGAGAAATAAAGAAATACTAAGCTGCTCTGGTAACGATTCCAACTCAGAAAACCCTGCATGCAGTCCTTCCCTGTGCTGCTGGGTCACAATGAGTCATAACTGACTCAGTGACTGTGAGGTTTAGTTTAGTGACATTCGATAACTATTCGCTAGTGGCACAAGTGGTTTGTGCACTCAACTGCTGACTTCATAGGTGGCAATTAGATCCCAAAAGCACGCAGTTCGAATCCACCAGGTGTTCCACTGCAGAAGGAGGGGCAACCTCCTCCTGTGCCAGTCGGATCTGATTCAACAGTACACACACACACACACACACACACACACACACACATTAAAAAATTAATTAAAAAAAACAACAGGTGGCAATTTGAACCTACCCAGCAGTAGCACAGAAGAAAGGCCTGGCAATCTGCTTCCATGACTATTAAAAAGAGGAGGGAAAACACTACGGGACAATTCTATTCTAGAGCACGTGGGGTGAAAGTGACTCCATAGCAACAGGTTTTCATTCCTGATATTGCTGTTGTTATTGTTGTTGTTAGGTGTGGAGCAAAGAGGGGTTGTAAATACCAGCTCTATTCTTGACCTGTAACTAACCACTCTGGTTTCTGTTCCTTTCATAATTCTTGCAGACGCTTACAACTTATCCCATCACGACCCTGTGCAGCGCGCCCACCGTGTACCGAATGCTTGTGCAAAAAGACCTCAAGAGGTACTAACCCTCGCAGAAATTCCCACTTAAACCACATTAGGCGTTATAGTCCAGCATCACAGATCTCTTCTTCTTCAGGATGGTCCCAAAACCCAACCCAAACCTACTAATTTTGCGTAGACTCTGAGGCTTGGTGACCCTGTGTCTGAATTTCCGAGGCTGTAAATCTTTACATGAGGGGCAATTACTTATCTTCCTCCCATCAAGCAGCTGGTAGATTCAAACAGCCCAACTTTCAGTTAGGAGCCCAACAAATAATACACTACGCCACCAGGGCTCCTACAGGATGACCCAAGGTTTCTGAATCTTGGTAAGGTTGCTATTTAGGGCCAGATAATTAGGTGGTGTGGAGCACTGTCCCATTTGTTACAAGCTGGTTAGCAGCCTGCCTGGCCTCCACCCACTACATCCCAGCAATGACTCTCTCCCCAGAACTGTGACACATTAGAAAGTCTCTTGTTGTTATTGTTGTTGTTATTGTTGTTAAGCGCTATCGAGTATGTTTCACAGTGACCCTGTGAGCAGTAGACCTGAACCCTGCCCTATCCTGCGCCGTCTTCATCATCATCTCTGACACACTTGAGCCCTTCGGTACTGACGTCTGGAGACTCTGTATACTTACACACTGAAGCACTGCCCAGTCCTGTGCCCTGTTCACACTCTCTGCTGAGCTTAAATCCATTGTTAGAGACACTAGGGCAAATCATCTCATTGAAGGTCGTCCCCCTTTTTGCTGACCCGTTACTTTCCCAAGCATGATGTCCTTCCCCAAGGAGTGGTCCCTTGTGATAACGTGCCCTAAGTTTGTGAGGCAAAGCCTCACCATCCTTGCTTCTAAGGAGCACTGTGGTTTCACTCGCCCCATTCAGATTTGTTTGCTCTTTTGGCAGTCCATGGTACATTCAATAATCTAGACACTGGCAAGTGTTCTCTGTTCCCAGTTAGGGCCACCGGGATAGAATTTAGGGGTAATTGGACCTCCCCCTTAAGGACAGCCAGAACCATATAATCCCAGAACTCCTGCTCCAAAATGACAATCTTTGGGGACCACACGCTAATAAGAACCAACTCAAAAGAAGCGGTAGTCTGTTTTCACAAACTACAGTTATATTTATTTCCCTGTGAAGAAGCTAAAGAACTGTCAAGTGGTTATAGTCAAGTCAGCCACATCACCTGCACAGAGTGAAATCACAAAAGTACTTATTTCTTATGGCAATAAGCTGCACTGCAATCCCAGAGGTACGCAGTTGGAACCCACCAGATGCTCTGCTGGAGAAGCGGTGGGGGGCAGCAATCTCCTCCTGTGCCAGTCAGGTCCCATTTGATGGTACACACACAAATAACTTTTTTTTAAAAAAAGTATTTATTTGTTGTTATTGTTGTCGTGTGCCATGGAGTCAGAACCAACCCATAGCTGACCCTCCAGAGGGTTTTCAAAGGTAGTAAATCACACGAGAGGAGACTGCCCATCCTTCACAGAGTACTTGGTGGATTTGGAGTGCATGGGAATTGCAGCACAGCTTCTTCCCACTAGCCCAGCGGAGGAGAGAGAGAAAAAACTTGTGTGACCTCAGCTCACCCGTTCCTGGTTGCCCCCAGGAAAGGGCTCCCAGGAGGCACAATGCTCTGGGAGAAAACACAGCAGATATGAATCTCCTCTTTTCCTAATCTGTGCCAACTCCTTTGTCACCCTCGGAATGTTGGCATTGACCTCACATTGCAGAGACGATTCTGAGAATGACCTTTAAAAATAAATACCCAGAATTTGAGTCCTATCCACCCCCTCCCACCCATCTGAAACATTATCAGAGTAGACTTATTCCAAGCTTTCTAACCTGAGTCTTGTGGGTCGCTGAGCAGTCAGGTCAATGACTAAAAGCTCAAACTCCAAAGGCAAACAGCCGGGGTTGGAGCTGCTACTTATTAACCGTGTGGCCTCGGACAGTCAAGATGTCTCTGGTAACTCAACCCTGAGGGATTAACCACTTGACTGCCAACTGACAGGGCAGGAGTTCACGCCCAGCAATTGCTTTACAGGAGAAACACACAGCCATCTACTTCCACAAAGATGACATATCGTTGAGGTTGCTGTTAGGTGCAATCGAGATGACTCATAGGAAGCCTGTGAACAAGAGATCCCATCCTGATCACTTCAGACACTCTAGAGCCCATTGCAGTCACTGTGGTTACATATAACCTAGGAGACCCTAACGGAGCTCTGCTGCTTGTAGCAAGAAACTGAGCTGCAATCCCCAAGGCTGACAGTTCGAATCCACTAGCTGCTGCACGGGAAAAGAATGGACAATCCCCTCCAGCTGCCTCTGAAAATCCCTCTGAGGGTCAGGGATGGGTCAGAACTGACCTGACGGAACACAACAGTAGACCCTATGGGGCTGTTCTACTCTGCCCTCTAGGAGTCACCACGAATTGACTCTACAGAGTTAAGAGGCACCTCCCAGAGCTGTGACAAGAATTCATTCTGTGTAACATGTTTGGTAAGGGAGCTCTTGTGGCCTAGTGGCAAGAAGCTGCACTGCAATCCCAAAGGCACGTGGTTTGAGGCTACCAACCACACACTTAGTGGGAGAAGGATGGGCAATCTCCTCCTGTGTAATTAACTGCCTTTGAAAAAAATGGCAGGAAGGTCAACTATGGTCTGACTCAACAGTACAGAATGACAGCATGTTTGATTCAGCTTCTGATCAAAGGCAGAGTACCTACTCAGACATTTGTCACTTGGGAAGCCTTGGACACATTCTCTGACCTCGCAGAACCTCAATTTCATCATCTGTAAATTTGGGCTGTTGTCAGCATTATAACGTATTCAGAAAGTCTTACAACATAGTAAATGCTCAATTCATTCCTTCATTAAATGCTTAATTACTATTAGTTGTTGGCTCACTCGATATCATTACCACCTGTTCCCTGTTTGGCACCTAACTTCTCTTTTACCTATTAGCTGTCAGGAGTCTCGTTTTAACTACAGATATGCCCTGCCACATGCCTAGCATGTCTGGCAAAATGTTGTTGTTGTTGTTGTTGTTGATGATGATGATGATGATTGCTGTCAAGCTGAGCACGACTCACAGTGATCCTATGAACAAAAGTCCAGAAGCCTTTCTATAACTATGATCATTTATCAAAGTTCATCAATAAGTAGTATTTGTTGAATGAGCTTTCCTACGACCTACCCCTCTTAGTTCATTGGCTTGTTGCTTGAACGCCCCATCTCGTCATCAAAGACACCCAGATTTCTCCTCCAAAGACTCCACTCAATTCTTTCTCTTCAGGTATAAATTCAAGAAGCTTCGGCACTGCCTGACAGGAGGGGAGCCACTCAACCCAGAGGTGCTGGAGCAGTGGAAAGTGCAAACAGGACTGGAGCTGTACGAGGGCTACGGACAGACGGAAGTGGTATATTTAAAGGGGAAAGTCAGGTCAGAGGTCGGCATAATGGGGGCCTCCCAGCCCTGCAGCTCTAAACCTGGGCTTTGAACTCTTGCATTCTGTGTCTGAACAAGCTCACCACAAGCTCACCCAGGGATCTTATTCAAAGACAGATCTGATGTCCTCTTTCTGAGATGGAGAAGCAAGAACAGACCAGTTAAAAGCTCTGCTCTTAACAGAGCCCATGGCATTTCCCCATCACACTCTAAAAACAAAACAAAATTGTGATTTGAGTGAAAGTTGAACCAAGGCAGTTTTCTGTACAATTTGTACACATTTTATTTCATGGTGTTAAAGGCAAGCCGCATATGCAACAGCACTCGTTCCACTGCCTCCCTGTATGTACCAGTTCCAGTCATCTTTTTTCCTCTATCCCTTTGTTGTTGTTTCTACCTTGTGAGCCTTATTGTTATGTGCCATTGAGTTGCTTGAGACTCACAGTGACCCCGTGTACAACAGCCCTAAACCCTGCTCTATCCTGAGCCAACTTTGTCTCTGCCACACCTACCCCCATGACCCCAGTCACTGAGTCAATCCATCTCAAGAATAACCCTATGTACACATATGGCAATACATGTGCATAAATACCTTCTGCCAAACCTCTACATACTCATGAGTTGTTGTGTACTGTTGAGTCAGAATCATTTCCAAAGGCGGTAAATCACACGGGAGAAGACTGTGCATCTTTCTCCCTCAGAGCAGCTGGTGGTTTAGAACCACTATGGCCTAGTGGGAAGAAGCTGAGCTGCACTCTCAAAGGCACACAGTTCAAGGCCACAAGCTGCTCCACGGAGGAGGATAGTCAATCTACCCCCCATACAATTAACTGCCTCTGAAAACCTGCCAGAGGGTCAGCAATAGGTCAGTTCCGACTCTACGGTACACAACAACGACCACAATGACCTGGTAGCACAAGTCCTTACCGCTAACCCACCAGAGCGCCCAATATTTGTGAGTAGTCTTTTTTGCCTTCTAATTCCTGCTTAGCTTGTGTCTCTGTGTATCCACTCAGAGTACTATCGTTACTGTTATTACAGGACTGACGGAAGCTCTGGTAAGAGGCTGCACTGCAATCCCAGGGGGACACGGTTCAAATCCACCAGATGCTCTGCTGGAGAAGGAGGGGCAATCTCAGTCAGATCCGATTTGATGGTACACACACAATCAAAAAAAAATTAAAAAAAAAAACAACAAAAATCAAACAAACAAAAAATCCCGTTATTACAGGACTGTATATGTAATAGTACTGACCTCTGTTGTCTTTAACTGGGCTCCCAGGGTCGCCCTCTGACCATTCTGAGCTGACTTCTCCCTTATTCTGCTTCACTCAGGTGAACATACTTGTCCTCTAGTTAGCTGCTTCCCCTCCTTCCTCCTGCCCCCACTCCTGGTAACCATCAGAGACTGTTTCTTTCTGTGTGAACACCTTTCTTTGATTTTTTTTTAAAGAATAAACACCTTTAATACATTTGCTAAAATGGGAGGAAGGAGATTTATTTGCCTTTCCGAGTCTTGATTTTCCTCAGAACTCCAGCTCCTTGTCCCGTTGCACACAGCCATCTGTATGTACAGCCACCCGGGCCTGGCCTGGAAGCGATACATGCAAGAAGCTTGCCCTGTTGGAACCACTCCTCTGGAAGACTGCTGGGTTTTGTGTTCTTTCCCCTTTCATTGTGGTTTTTTTTTTCTGAATTTTTCTTTGATCACTTTATGTTTAAAATCTCTTCCTCCTCAGGAGTCAGCTTGGCCCCTTCTTGTGACCCAGGGTAGAGCATAGGTGAGACTCGTACCCCTGGGGGTACGGTGTGCTGTCTATGAGCACCATGCAGTTCTCCACTACGGTCTTGGTTCAGACCAGCTCATTATTGGAGGCATTGCAGACAACACCAAGAATCCTTGTTTTGTGAATACAACATTCAGAGCCCCAGAAGAACTTCCCAATATCCATTCTTAGGCGGCATGGTACTTCTTGTTGCCTCCTCACACACGAACTGTCTGTATACGTTGGGGGCCAATCTTAGTGTTGGCAGCCAGGCATTCTTACTCCCCATTCATACTCCCGCTTCTTGTGGGAAGGCTTTCTCTTGCCCCTAGTTTTGCAGCACTTGGGCCAGTTGTCCCAGGAGATGCCCATTACACCACACTGCCTGGAAAGAGCGATTTTAAATATATATATCTATATATTTGTTGTTGTTAGGTGCTACCAAGTTGGCCATGACTCATAGTGACCTAAGAACAAGAGACTTGAACCCTGCCTTCTCCTGCGCCATCCTTGCCATCTCTGATACACTCAAGCCCACTGTCAGTCACTGTGTTAACCCACCTTGCCGGAGGCTCTTCCTCCACCTTCTCTCAGCATGAAGTCCTTTTCCAAGGACCAGACCCTCCCTTCCTGACAACTTGGCCAAAGTATGTGAAACGAAGTTTCACCATATAATAGTGAGCTCATAAAATATTTGTCGCTTTGCTGAGTAAAAGCCTAATGTCCTCCAGGTTGATGCATAGTATTTAGTTTTGCATATTCACTGGTCTTCAATATTGCATAGTATTGTATTGTGTGTGTACCATACTTTATCCATTTATCCATTAATGGGCACTTAGATTGGTTCCAACTTTTGGCTGCAATTAACATGAGTGTACAAAAAACTTGTGGAATTATCCACTGAGACGTAACTGAAGGGAAATGGTGACTTTTACAGCCTTTTAGACTTCTCTTGCCCAGAAAAAAGAAAAATCAAGATATTAGGAGTTGGAGAGGTCAGTAATGGGACTCATCTTTCCACTGACCTGTAAAGAGCTTCAGAGGGGAATTTATTCCAAAGTGAAGGTAATGGTACCCTTGGTCAAAAGTAGTAGTTCTCAAAGAGTGGTCAACCAGCAGCAGCCGCAGCCTCTGGGCACTCGGTAGGAACGTAGATTCATTCTCAGGCTCCATCTCTGATCTTCAGAATCAGAAACTCTGGGTTGGAGCTCAGCAATGTGTTTTAATGAAAACCCAGGTGATCTGATGCATACTCAAGTTTGAGAACCACTGTTGTTGTGTACCGTTGAGTCGGAACCAACCCACAGCTGACTTTCCAGTGGATTCTTAGAGGCAGCAAACTGCACAGAAGGAGACTGCCCATCGGTCTCCTGCAGAGCACCTGGTGAATTCGAACTGTATACCATTGGATTGGCAGCACAATTCCTTACCACTAAGCCACCAGAGCTCCCTTGAGGGCCGCTAGTCCAAAGTAATGTATTCCAAAAGGTGAGCTTGTATACTGAAAAAAAATGGACCTAAACTAAATGTTAGGTGCTATTCTCATACAAACATAAAAGAGAATTGTACGTACTTACATAAAAAATGTCTTCTTAATAGGGAATCATTTGTGCCAATCAGAAAGGACAAGAGATTAAACCAGGATCTATGGGGAAAGGTGTACTACCCTATGATGTCCAGGTGGGTTGAGAAAAATATTGGACTGTTATGCAAAGAAGATAATGTTTTACAATTCTCTGCTATTTATTCACAGCTATTTCTAACCTGCTTTTATTTAATGAAAAACAGTTTTTAAGAATTTGCATGACTTCTTTCGTTCTAGATTATAGATGAAAATGGCAATATCCTACCACCTGGCAAAGAAGGAGAAATTGCTCTCAGACTAAAGTCTGCACGACCCTTCTGTTTCTTCTCTGAATATGTGGTAGGAGGTCGTACAATGTGCTTGTGATTCACACTCAAATAGGAAAGGTGGCACTCAGGATCACAAACACGAAATTTCTTGGAGTGGTTAACTTGGATAAGTCACAAAATTCGAGTCTATTTCATGATCTGCTGAAGAAGGAGGGGACTATCTGTATTCTAAGAATCTTGTTAACATTTTCTCTGAATGTTAACTAGCTCCGGTAGTTGTCTTCAGAAAGGGAAGCTGGGGGGTCTGGGAAGCCCAGAGGTACTACAGGTGGAAGAGAGGCCTTTGGATCTTTTGAATTTTATTGATACTCTTGGACCTTTTGTATCTTATAAACGACAGGGAGCTCTGGTGGCAAGAAAGTGTGTTGCAATCCCAAAGGTACACAGGTCAAATCCACCAGCTGTTCTGTGGGAGAAGGATGGGCAATCTCCTCCTGTGTAATTAACTGCCTCTGAAAACCTGCCTGAGGGTCAGCTATGGGTTGGTTCTAACTCGACGATACAGAGCAACAAAAACATTAGAAGCTATCTTTTAAAAAATTAAAGACCAGAAAGGGTAATGTACTAGTCATTTATTGGGTGACACACCTCTTTCTCCGTCGTGACCAAACTAGTCCCCAAGTCATCTGTGATCCCTAGGACAACCCCGAGAAGACGGCAGCCACAATGAGAGGAAACTTCTATGTCACCGGAGACAGAGGAGTGATGGACAGCGATGGATATTTCTGGTTTGTCGGCAGAGCTGATGATGTCATCATTTCCTCTGGGTCTGTACCACTTAGGGAGGAAACATTTGCCAAGAGAAACACCTCCTTCGATGGTGTGGTGACCAAACGCTCCTTGTCCTCACGTAGGTACCGTATTGGCCCATTCGAAGTGGAGAGCGCACTCATTGAGCACCCAGCGGTGGTGGAGTCAGCGGTGGTCAGCAGTCCAGACCCAATCAGAGGAGAGGTAGAGTGCACGTCACTATTTAAAGGAGCAGTGTCATGTGTTCAAGCATCCTGTATTGGGTTCCTGATATAGACTCAATCAAGAAGTCATCTATGTCTCAGTATGAAGCATAGATGGGGCACAAATGTATGCCAGATAATCAAACTTACCTCTGGACAGAGGTAAAAACCAGTCCAAATCAACACCCTCATAATCATATAAAGACTGTTTACTGACCACAATAATTATCTAGGCCTTTTCTCCACCTCTTTACTTTCTCCAGAGTGGGACGTATCTTTTCTACCAGAACTATCCTTTCATGAAGCTCTTCTTAAAAATTATCAAACTGGTGGGTCTCAAAGAGAAATACAAAGTAAGACAGTTGTTTTAGGAGTTGTACGGTCCTACCTAAAAGCACCATCTCATGGGATACACCCCTTCCTCTATCATGCGTCCCCCTATCCTACCCTCTTCTAACCATACATGCTCAAGAGCCTCTATTCTCTGGAACTTCCACCCCCATGCTCGGTGGAGTAAGTGGTCATCTAGAAATAAGGGCTGCTTGTAGAACAGGAACAGTCTGACTGAAATGCGCAACATATAAATGAAAGTTGTGCTTTATTGAGCCACCCTCACTCTTCATAATTTACTGGAATTAGATCTGAAAACATGACCTTATCTCTGTTCAAAGGTGCTATTGGACACTTGTGTTCATTATTCAAGCTGTCGTTATCAAATAATTAAGTGCTGGTGGTGCGCAGGTTAAGCGCTGGCCTGCTAACTAAAAGGTCGGCAGTTTGAATCCACCAACAGCTCTTCACAGGATAGGGCAGTCTGCTCCGATAAAGATTTCCTTCAGAAGTGTGTGGCAGCTCTATTCTACGGGGTCCTGCGACCTCTAATTGAATTAGTGGCAGTGGGTCAATGGGCTTTGAGTTTAGCATTAGTTCCAAAGCCTTGATGAGTCTCAAAAACAAATATGTGATGTAGATTTGTCTTTTCTTCTTCTTATAGGTGGTGAAAGCTTTTGTCGTCTTATCTGCACCATTTAAATCGTCCAACCCAGAGAAACTGATTCTTGAACTTCAAGATCATGTGAAAAAATCAACTGCACCTTACAAATACCCAAGAAAGGTAAGTTCTTGGCCCAAACGCGAAGCTAGTTACAAACTGGAGTCTAAGTTGGTATATAGACTTCACTAGTTTGTATAGGAGCTCATTTCAGAGGTAAAATCAAAGAAAAGCTGGAATACCTCATTACGAAGGTAGAAGACACTTCAATTTTAGTGCTTATTTTGCTTTGAAATCTTTCGTATTAGGACACTGAGTATTGATTGCTAAGCTAGACATCTTGATTGTTGTTAAGTGTTAAGACATTTTGATTAGTCCTACAATACTCAGTAACAACTAAGTGTCTTAATAGAACTAATCAGTCTCATTTCATGAGAGGAAGAAAATAAGATAGCACAATTTGTCAAATAGCTGGGAATTTCTTCTTACCTTTTTTGGGCCATCTTTCTCTATAGTCAAGGGAAGGGTCAGATAGATGTTATTCACAGAAGACTTGCAAAGCTACTTTTGAACAAGGAGGATGTAAGAACAATTCTATACACACAGAGATGGCACCAGTCTCCTTCCAGCCCTGGAATCCCATTAGTGATGTTGACCATCTCAGCTTACATCAGAATTCTACCTCAGTCAACATCATTTAAGCCAGTTTGTTTTCAATCTAGAGCAACCACATGTTCCCCATTCAATTTATCAGTGACCAGCTGATTTCTTGAAATTTGGAAATTTGGTTTGAGGGCATGTAAAAAGCTGGGAGCAGCCTTATGTTGGGTGAGAGGAACAAAGAAGGGGCTTTGGGGTTTTCAAGAAGAAAATGGAATATATTAAAATGTTGAAAATTTCTCAAAACCACCTTTAGGATTCAGCCTTTGAATCCTCGACAAACAAGAATTGTTGAGTCTTTGCGTTTAGATATTGCCTCCATTTCCCTGAAGTAGCAGAGGCCTATTTTGTTTGAACTGGGGATAGGGGACAAGGGAAGTTATTACTTCTGGTAAAGCATATTAGCACATTATGCTCTACACACAGAATTACTGGTGAATTTCTGCACTCTCAAATTCAACATCAGAAATCATGTGTCTGTTTTCTATCAACCAGGTGGAATTTGTTCAAGAACTCCCAAAGACTATCACCGGAAAAATCAAACGAAATGTTTTGCGAGATCAGGAATGGGGACAAAGATAACTTGATTAAGAAGAGGCTCTGGAGTATTCACATAGTTGCTTCCTCTTGGTTCCCACTTCCTTGGAATTCAGTAACTCCTCTTAAAAGGAGACCTGGACGTTTACAAACATTCACCCTTTATCTAAAGTATCAGTGGTCTCAGCCCCCAGTCACTCCCCAGGAAAATGTGGTAGATCTGCTCCAGTATGTGCCTTCAAACAGAAGACTGACCATGATCCATCAGTGAGCTGAGGCTGTAAACCACACAGTAGCAAACTCTATCTTTCTCTCAATGGTGATAAATTTGATCTGCCTTTCTTTAGGTTGGCAGCACAACTCCTTACCCACTCAGCCATCAGAGCTCCCTACCATAAAGATCGCAGCCACAGATACCTGGGGGGTGGTCCTGTTCAGTCTTACAGTCACTTGGAGATCATTTACTCTTAAAATACCATTTTTCCTAATTGAAAAATCCAACCGAGTTTTATATGTTCAAAGGAAATGTCCTGAAACAAGCAATGTAGTCAGTATTTTAAAAAGCCCAAATAAAAACCAAACCTTGATGAGAAAATTATTAGGACTCAGAAAGGCATGGATTATACTGATTTGCCATTTAAAATGACAAGAATCAAATACTTAGAAAAGGACTATACGCAATGAGTTCACTTTTCAATTATCGTGTGCCTAATATAACCAAAAATAAAAATACTTGTGAGAAATGGACAGAATTTCTTCTACTTAACAGCTTTCTGTTACTTATACTTTAAGGTGGATCAAACATTACTATTAGAATTAGGAATACAACTCATTCAAAAGTCAGTAGATAAGTTTAATAAAATTTTAAGTACTTTATTATTATACCTCGCTTTGAAACAAATTTACTATAAAATACCCCAAACTTTTATTATTTGAGAACAACTAAAATTTGTATCTCAATAGTTGAGATAGTTGATCTGTGAATACAGATGACTCTTTTTTAGGTTGACTTGCTATAGAACTTTCAAAATCTTTTAAAACGCTGACTACATTGTTGTTGGGTTTTTTGTTTTTTCCAAGAGGAAGAAAGAAAAAGCACAGGCCATCAATCTTTAGGAAACACATTTATTTTTATTTTTCTGAAAACATCAGAAACCATGAAAAACAAGCTGAATATATGCCATAAAAATAACATTTGAAAACATATTTTATCTTAAAAACATATCAAGTTTAACACTTTCTCTTCTACAGACCAAAACAAGCTTACTATGCCCCAACACTGGGGTCCTTTAACAGATAAGACTTTGTTTCAAGTAAAAATGTATTAAGGGAAGGGAAAAAAACCCCAAACCAAATGCAAAAAAACCAAGCATTCAATACTCACTCATGAATCTCATCATTTATAAAAATAACATGCTCAAATGTCAGCAAAAATAATGTTTTAAGATCTGAAAACACCTTTCAATGAATCTGGATCCCAAGAGAAGCCAGGTCCTTTATAGGTGGGCAAGAACTGCTTATCCACACATAGGAATAAATGCCAAAGAGGATTGGAACCAACCTACAGAGTCCAAATTCTTCTCTCAAGTAGCAGCTTTCACATAGTAAAAGGTCTCAGCTCCACAGAGCTCTGTGCTCTGCAGGCACACAGCCAATTTTATTCCCAGACTCTCATCATCTTGCATTATCCAAACAAAAGTATGTTTGTCACGGAGCAAGTCTGCTGAAAAAGGCACCAAAATCCCTGTTCCCCCAAACCCACTGTCAAGTCCACTTCAATTCAAAGTGATCCTTGACCTACTACTCCTAAAATTATACCAGCAATACTTTCAAGATGATTTCTTCTAAAGATCTAAGAACATGTTAAAGAAAAGTCCAGCTTATAACACCCTCATCTGCATCAGCAAGAACCTGCCTATCCTGCACCCGAACCTTTCTATTCTCCGTGGCCATTACCCATGAAACTGACAAGGCCAATGGCGTGAGAAGTTATCCTATTTACATTATCTAATATTTAAACAAGAGTAGATCAATTTCCAAATGCCAATTTCACAAGCCTTTAGTAATTCTCAATCTGGAGAATATATTAGAGTCCTAACAAGATTTAGTGTCTGCTTCTTCCAACTTTTCTCAACCTTTTCACCTTGGAAGTTTTAAAACCTAACTAGTTAAAATATTTGTTGGGAACCTTGAGTTTATGTTACCCTGATCTATAGACATAAAAATACTTGTATCTTACAGAAACCTAGATTTTAACCGCTTAGGGTTCACACACCTCTTCCTTTTTTTTTTTTTTTCAAAATCTCAGGGGAGCAGAAGAGTGAAAGAAAGGGTTTCACACCCAGTCAGCTACTTGTTGGAACAATTTGGTATTGGCATTTTTCCAGGTAGTTTTTGGTAAGGAATGTTGCTATCCTTCTTCATTCTCAAGCTCAAGCAGTTGTGGAAACATTTCAAGAGATCTGCTGGTCACCTAATTTTTCCAAGGAGTTTCCTTTTAAATCTGAGAATCTTGTCATTTTAAGAAAAAGCATTTTCTCTAGGACCCTATAGAAACTTGTTCAAGTAGTAATAAAAAAGTGTCTGCAAATAAGCTAATTTCTTGAAGTCATTCTTTATCTCCAAAGCATTCAGCAAAATCTAGCCTACTGTATTCTTCTACTCTGATAAGTCATCTTAGTTCAGACATCCTGCGCAGAACTCTTCCTCTGACATATGGAAGACTCCTCTAGACTACAGATGTACATACAATTTGTCAAGGTTTTAGCTTCATTATTTTTGCATGAATGTGTCTGTTTATTCAGTTATGAATAATTTTTATAGCACTATTCGGAAATTCTTTTTAATCTCCAAGATTTCTTAATCAGCACTTCTGTGATAAAATATCTGCATTTTCTTTTGAATTAAGTGGTCCACTGCAGTATATACCGACAGGTTTTTTAATTTCCAAATATGAAGATACAGCTTTAAATACAAATTAACCTTTTGTTTTCCACAGCTTTGTGGAAAAGATTTTCTCAAATTTTATCATCTTTTATAATTCTTACATGACAAGCATTAGTAGACCGTTTATTCAGCAACTTGAGCAAGTTGCTTTTATTATCTGGATAAAATGGTACTAAATTGAGCATAACTTCTCTTTCTGCATTTTAATGTTGCCATTATTAGACTCTCACCAACTTTGTGAATTTTTCTTCCCTGAAATAAGCTGTTTAAAAAAATGCTTCCTAAACTTTTTAACTAAATGTGGATTTAAAAAAAAAATCAGAAGTTTTACTGTATTATTATTCCAATAGCCACTTAAAACAAGCATATCCTTTTTACCTGCCAAATTGCTCAAACTGCTAGATCTATGCTCTACACACAGACAACATATAATGTAGTAAGACAGTGACACACCTACATAAAATGCCTGATAGGCAGCTTTCATTAGAGACACTTTGCATCCCGTTGCATTAGTATATACAAATAGCTCAGACTCAGGAAGTAGCTAAGAGAATACGCCATCCCCTTTTCCTTATGAATCAGGGTGAAGTCTCTCTCAGGGAGGAGTGATAGGGAATGGCAAAGGACACACCGACAAAGGAGATTAATCAGAACTGACTTTGACAAGCACTGTGGCAATTGGACAATTAAAACAGACATTGGCGGGGAAGAAGAACAAACTGGGGAGGAGGGTGGAGAGAATGGTGCGGCAATGAAGGAGTGAAAGCCCAGAATCCCTGTGAATGTTCATTGAAACTAATAAAATTTAATAATAATATATATATATAAAAAAAAAAGAAATAGCTCAGACTATTGCAGTTCTTCATCGAAATGTCTGTAGGTTGATAATGAGAATGGTCCTTATCTGTCTCTTCTATTCATAAACTGGAGCAAGAGATTAGTGACAAACATTAATATAAAAATGGGCATAAAAATTAAACAAAATAAAATCACAAAAATTGTGAACACTTCACGAAATAATTCACTCTTAACCAACACACTCTACGTTTCTGTAGTATTTTACAATAAAATGGCAGAGGACAGCCGAGTTGTGGCATGTAGTTTCCTTTCTTGGAATGAATCTCCCTGGGATTTTATTACACAGACCTTGTGCAGCCCCACAAGTCAGGTGCGAGTCAAGAGGGAAGGTTGGGGAAGGTAAGTAGGTGGGAGAGGCCAAGGTTATCCTCCCATCATCTTCTGGTGCCCTAGTCTTTGTTTTAGCAGTAAGTCCCCCTGCTCAACCAAATGCACGCGGGACTTCTGGAAGCCACCACAGGGCTGAGACCTCTAACAGAACAGCTACCAGGGCAGCTAAATTACTATTCACTAATGCAGCACAGAAAGTTCAAAATATTAATTTTTTTTTCAGTCATCATTTCATGTGGAACCCCAGCAATAACAGACAGAACTGATAATAAATTGATGTAGATGGCTCAAGACACTTGTATAAGAGAAATGAGACTGGATTTGCCTAATATATTTCCTTAATATATTTGTTGCACACTTAAAATAATAAGCCTTAGTTCCTTTTTAAGAAGAATCTAAAAAACAATTTTTTTTCAGTCATCATTTCATGTGGAACCCCAGCAATAACTAACAGAAGCCAATTTTAGAAACCCACTCTTAACAATGAATGAGTCTCTCCCTTAGGTGAGGTCATTTTCATTTGACTTAGCTTCTTCAGAGGCTTTACTTCCAAGTTCAGGTTTAGTTTCTCCTTCATCCTGCACCTGTGTCTCCGATGCGCCTTTTGTCTGTTCTGCCTCTTCACTGTTTTCTGTTTTCTTCTGCTGGTTAGGTTTTCCTTCCAACAGGCTGCCTTGATCTGATTTGTCGCCAGATTCCATCTTAGTTGCTTTTCCGTTACCTGAAGGTGTCACCTGCTTTGGGTTAAGCTGTGACTGGTCCTTGGCATTCTTCACTACCTCCTGGAGATTGTACTTTCTGAACAGCATGTAATCTTTCACCACACTCAGGCAGCAGACAGCTTTGATAATTTCCACCACCACCGTGTACTGCGGATTGGTAAGATCCACCTTGTTTTCGGAATTGAGGCTGCCTACTATTCCTATAACACAAAGAATAGGAAAACGCTTAGACTAAAAAGGACACCCTTACGCTTGATGAATATTATAACAGTATTTCCATTCTTTCCTGCTTGGGAGTTGCTAAAATAACATAAACTCACCCATGTTCATACATGTACTTCCGTCAAATTCACTAAAACATTCAATGTGAGTACACACAAAATTCTGAGCCATTTGCTAAAAATATCTAACTATCTATTTAAAACAAACAAATAATCAGTCTTGATTTGGAAGAGACTTTATCTAATAGCCAGAAAATTGCATACCCAGCATATCAAGATCAATTAGTTAGGTTTGTATGCAGTGTACTTGTCCTTATTTCTGAAAGATAGCCAATAAAACCCTGGAATAAACTATGAGGCAACTCCTGGATAGGGTCTGAGCAGGCCAGAAAGCCCAAACTGGTAATACTGTTACCATGACCTCAACATCAGGAGGAGGGCTGAGTTAACCACCCATGCATAAATTGGATTATCTTCCTGGATAGGGAAAGACACAGAAGCATGTGGCAGCGAAGCAAGCCCCTTTTTTGGGATATGGAACCTACACGTTGGAAACTTGCTTAGTCTGTGCCCTTGATATCTCTCCACTAGTGTAATAAAACTATAATCCTAAAATTTAATGTTTTCTAACAAATCATCAAACCCAAAAGGTTGGTGAAACCCAACAAGTCAGAAGTGAGGGTGTGATGGGGTCTCCAAAGCATCCAGTTAATGGCTGAAATCTTTGGAGGACTGCTGTGCCTTTTAACTGTGAGACCTGCCTTAGCACCAGGGCGTCCTGGTCAAAAGGAGAAACACTGAATAATCTACATTTGGTGGTGGAGCAGAACTGATAATAAATTGATGTAGATGGCTCAAGACACTTGTATAAGAGAAGTGAGACTGGATTTTCCTAATATATTTCCTTAATGTATTTGTTGCACACTTAAAATAATAAGCCTTAGTTCCTTTTTAAGAAGAATCTAAAAAGCAAGTATTTAACATTGGACTTACAAGGAATCACTGAGAAAAACATACCTGCCAATTCTTTGATAACTTCTTCTCTATTCATATGACTGTTATTTCGAGATTTGTAAACAATCTGAAATGTCCCTTTATTTGGTGCTTTAAACCAGGGTTCCAAAAATGTTTCTGCATATTTTTTTATGTCCTCCAAGAAAGCTTTGCAGGTGCCAGAGATGGGTATCATTCGTAGAATAACTCGCGTCTTCTTCTTCTTGGTTTTGTACATATCCTGAAGGATATGATGCACCAACTTCTCAGGTTCTAAAAGGCAAAGAAAAAAAATCCACAGAAAGCAAACAAGAAGGTTAAGAATATAAATTCTCACACATCTGAGAGACAACACAAGCTCTCTCAAATAAAATGGCATTGATGTAAGTTAATGAGGGAAGGAATTTTCACAAAACTTAAATGAGTCTGCTCAGTCTTTCCAACTATTTTCTCTTCAGTGTCTCTTGTACTTAATACTTAACTCTTTAGTATCATTACTGTTTTAACTAAAACTGTCCATGAAGACTCTAGGGTCAACATTTCTGTTTTCATGGTAACAATGACAACTGTAACACACACACACACACACACACTCTCACTCTCTCTCTGCATTTTCCTACAAAAACCAAAGCAAAAAGCTACAAGGCACAGAAAGGATTTCATTAATCCATCAGGTAAATTAACACAAATTCCAGATGCTAGACCTAGGTGAAGCAGGGGACCAAAACCTTAAAATGTTTATTTAAGATGATCAAGGGAAGCCCTTGGGCTGCACACAGTCTGTTTAGGGCTGCTCAATGTTTTCAATATTTCTAAAATTTGTTAACCACATTAAAAAGTCAAGAAAACTATCAAGATTTTCAACTTCAGAAACCTATCAAGATTTCCAACTTCTTCTGAAAAACTCGAAGATCTGGTCTACCAGAATTACATTCCCAAATTAGACAGAGTCAAGAAAGAGCTGTCCCTTTAAGCAGGTCAGGCACTCTTGTTTGGCCTGAATTTAATTAAGAAATGCCATGTCCTCTACTTTATTCCATCTCTCCATATGCCCTAGTGCTGACATAATGTAGACAAGATACAAGTAAATAAGCCATGTCCCCACACCCATTTTCTAGGCAGCAAGATAGCAAAATGTCTAGATTATTACAGGATCAATAATCTTAGACATTAAAGACCCACCTATTCCAAGTGTTCTGATAAAGACTACATTGTTTGCTCCACTCTCCACAGACTGGAATCTTCTTAGCTTCATCTCTGTAGATGTCCTAATGTCACCAACTTCCTTCTTCAAGGCAGCCTCCACATCATCATCATCCTCATTTTCTCCCTCATTTTCAGAGGACTGCTGACTCTTGTCTGTAAACTGTTTGCATAAAACTAATGAGCAGACATGCCACAACAGCTCATGTTTAAAAACTACAATTAAGCACTTATATGAAACTCACAGTGGTAGATGGTTCAATATTGACAATAAAGCTTTTATAATTAAGTACTTACATGAAACTCACGGTGGGAGATGGTTCAATATTGACAATAAAGCTTTTACTAAGACAGAGACACACCATTCATTCCAAAGCGCAAAGGAAAAGGGGTATTCCTATAGACTTAGGTATGTATCAACTTGAAAATGTTTTCAAAAGTATCTTAAGTATGAGACAAAGGAAAATTATTCTCAACAAAGGAATCATTTCAGGGTAGGCGTTAAAACTTTATTAGCCATCACTGTGCCCGGTAAGTCAGAATACTCTTTGAGAGGAGACCACACTTTTATAGAATTCAAACTTTTAGTCCTGTTTTTCTGAACAGAAGAGTGCAGAAGTAGTTTTAAAACAGCTTAAAGGCAATGGTGCAAGTTGATTGTGATCAAATGCATAAAAGATTTAAACTTAATAATTCTGCAGAGGGAAAAAAAAAGATGTTTCTTTAAAGATTTTCAAAATGTTATGGAGTAGGTCTACTATATAATACATGGGCTCACCAAGCCAAGAACAGACCCAGAGGCAATGGGTTTGTGCTGGACTTTTTGTTTTGGTATAAAAATTTTTACTTTTCAAAAGCTCAGTGGTTTGAGTCTGCCAGCGCTGCTCCAAGGGATGAGGCCGTTTCCTCCTGTAAAGTTTTACAGTCTAAGAAACCTCATGGAGGGTGTCCTGAGTCAGCGCTAGATTTTGGTTCTGGGTTTTCATTTTTACATGCACTTGTAAAATGGCCAGCACATGAAACCCATTCTTTCAGAAACATCATTGCTTAGACCTAAGGGACACTGACCACACAGTGGTTAAACACTGGACTGTAAACTAAAAAGCAGTGGCTTCAAACTCACCAGCCACTCTACTGGAGTAGAGATAAGGTAGTTTGCTTCCTCAAAACATGTATAGCCTTCAAAGTCCTATGGGGCAGTTCTACTCTGTTCTACTGAGTTACTCATAATCAGAACTGACTGGAGAGACCTGGTTTTGTGTGTTTTTTTTTTAAATTTAAAAACTGACTACCATCCAGTCAGACCAGACTCATAGATGATCCCTCCCTCAGGTTTCCAGAGGCTGCACACCATATAGGAGACTGTCCATCTTTCTCCCTCAGAGCCACTGGTGGATTCGAACCATCAGAGAGGTGTCCACTCTGACTTAGCAGCACAACTCCTTCCAGCACCAGGCTATCCTCTCCGGGTTTAGGCAGTGCACATGGTTCACACAAAACTGCTAAAATAAAGGCTGGTGCTTCACACACGCAGTGGGAGCAAGCACAGAAGGATGCTGGTGCTGCCCGTTAGCCGCTCTCCAGGCGACTGTGACTTTCGATGACTAAAGAGCAGAACCACTTCTCGGGATTTCTGAAGGCTGTGACCTACCAGGAGAGGATCATGGGCCTATTTTCTGGGTGGGTTCAATCTGTCATTTTACTAGTAAACCAGAATGATCCTGACCGATCCACGGCGATCAGACAGGACAGGAGAGATTGGCTCTCGTAGGTCAGAAGTGAAGAGGAATGGCGCTGCATTCATCATCAAAAAGAACATTTCAGGATCCCTCCAGGTCAATGCTATGATAAAATAAAAGCCATACTCATGCAAGCAAGACCTGTTAATACAGCTATTATTCAAATACACCCACCAACCACGAAGACAAAGTTGATAAAAACTGAGGAGTTCTAACAGTTTCTGCAGGGTGAAATTAATGGAGTACGCAATCAACATGCACTAATAGTAACTGGTGACTCAAATGTAAAAGCTGGAAGCAAAGAAAAATTAATTAGCAGTTAGAAAAACAAAGACTTGGTGAAAGAAACCAAGGCCAGAGATCACATAAAAAGAATTTTGTACAATCAATAATTTAATTGAAAATGCCACTTTAAAATATAAACAATGACTATACACAAGGTCTTCCTCTCTTGAGAGGGACTGACTCAGAGACTGGGGTATGGCAGTGGTTGTGTCAGAGACAATAATCTGGCTCAGGACATAGGAGGGTTCAGAGCTGTTTGTTATACATAAGGTGCCAAGGCACCAAACAACAATATACACAGTGAACATTGGTGGAATACACAGGAATCACACTGACTGTATCTGTGGAAAGAAAGAGTGGAAAAGCAGATAAAACAAGACCAGGATAAAACAAGGCCAGATGCCAAGCTAATTGTGGAAGAAACCATCGAATATTCACAAGCAAGTTCATATTAAAACTGAAGAAAATGAAAACAAGTCCAGCAGCGCCAACATATGACCTTGAACTTATCCCACCTGAATTTAAAAACATCTTAAGAACAGATTTAATGCACTAAATATTAATAATATCAGATGAGATGCAGATGAGATCAAGTACATCATCCATGAAGAATCAAAAGGTCTTTACAAAGAGACTAAAATGTAATGTCAGAAGAGACCCTGAAACTTGCTCTTCAATGTAGAGACCCTGGAACAAAGGGAAGACATTATGAAATAAGAAAGCTGAAGAGAAGATTTCAAAGAGCAGCCTGAGAAGACAGTTAGTATACCAAAATGTGCAAAGACCTGGAGTCAGAAGATCATAAAGGATGCACATGCTCAGTACTTCTCAAGCTGAAAAAAACTAAAAACATAATTCAAGCCTCAACATGTAATTCTGAAGGATTCTTTGAGCAAATGTTCAATGATGCAGGAAGTAAAGGAATACAATCTACCAAAAACAAGTGGTCAACACTGAATTATTTCAGTAAGTAGCAGATGATTAAAATCAATAGTAGAGAAAGAAATTCAAACTACACTGAAGGCATTGGCAAAAAATAAGTCCCCAGGAATCGGTGGAAATTGACATGTTCAGCAAACAGACACAGTCTGGAATGTGCTCACAACTCTGTGCTAAGAAATTTGGAAGATCCCTGGCCAACAGACTGAAAAAGATACATATTTGTTCTCATTACCAAAAGAAAAAAACAGATCCAACTGAAGGTGGAAATTAACAAAACCATTACTATAATACCCAAGTAAAATCCTGCTAATAAAGATTGCTCAAAAACAATTAGAGCGATAAGTATATCATGTATCAAAAAGGAACTGCCTGTCAGAAGTTCAAGTTCTATTGAAAAAGAGTGGAAGGAGGAATAAAATTGCTGATGTCAGATGGACCCTGGCTAAAAGCAGAGAATACCCGAAAGATGTTTACTTGTGCTTGACTTCGGTAAGGCATTTGATTGTGTGGATCACAAAAATTTAACAATAACTAAGAATGGGAATCACAGAACACTTGATTGTGCAAACGTGAAACGTAAACACAAGCCAAGAAAGAGAGAACACTGAAGAAGGGAGTATTTAAAATGAGGAAAGGTGTGCATCAGGGTTATATCCTTTCCTGTGACTATATGAAGCTTGTCCTTGCGAACCTGGCCTATCTTTGAGTCTCTTGAGTACTTTACTTACGAACATTACCTCACAATGCTGTTGATGTGAAGGGTGAATGTTTTATTTCTTAAGAGCTTTAGCACAGCATTGACCCTCAGGAAACAATTAACGAATGGGACCTAGGAGAACCCATCAAAAGGTCGGCGGAAGAAAAGACCTGGCTATCTCTGTAACGATCACAGCCTCGCAAACCCTACAGGGCAGTTTCACCAAGTCACATACAACCGTTATGCGTCTGAATTCACTGGGTGAGGGACAAGAAATACACCCAAAGTCTAAGGCCCCAGCATTTGAAGCATAAAACTAGCTGGGTGTTAAGGTTTCTGCAGTGTCAGCGGGAGTGGGCGGAGCCTGTAACCCAGGTAACGCGAAAGGGCGGGGACAGGGGCGAGGCCAACTACCCGCGCCGCGCTACAAAATGCGCGCATGCGTAGAAGCGCAGTCGGCCGTGCAGCTCTCCCATCGTCTTCCCCGGCCGGGACACTGGCCATCCGTCCCGCCCTGGGGCTGGTACCTTTTCCGGCCCATACATGTCGTCGCCGTATTCGTTCAGTAGGCTGTAGGCCTCCTCTACGCACTTGCGCTCGTTCATGTTGCAAGTGATGAGAATCCCTTGTAGTCCAGGCTCCAGCTGCCGCGGGCCGCCGGCGTCACCGCGCCGCGCCCGTTTGGCCTGCACGTAGACGGCTTTGCTTTTGCGTTTCCCGCTCTCAGGGCGAGGTGGCTGCTGGCCGGAGTCCGCCATAGTTCCCCCAAGCTGAGCAAACCCAGAAAAACGTGCTCCTCTACACCTCGGGCTTCTTGACCTCTCTGACGCCCTCTGATGACGTCGGGCCCGCGCGACAGGCTCGTGTAGCCCCGCCTTCCAGCATCAGGGCGTGTTTCCCCGGGGTCCTAAAGGTTTGTAGGGTAACTCCCAGATCGACTGGCTTCTGCTAAGACCTCAACACTGACCTGGAGAAAGTGAAACCAGACTCCTCCTTGGAGGCCACGATGGTGAAACTCCTCACCTGCTTTGGGCATGTTGTTAAGAGGGACCAGTCCTTGAAGAAAGACATCATGCTTGGGAAGGTGGACGATGTGCATAAGAGAGGAAACTCTCAACAGGATGAATTGACATGATGGCAGTAACAATGTGTTAGATGGTGAGGATGGCACAGGATAGGGCAAGGTTCTGTTAGTTCCCAGGATCCTTATGAGTCATAGTCGACTTGATGGCACATAACAACACCACTTGAAAAGACCTGGTTTCCTTGGAGATGTGGCCACCACCCTGATGCATGGTGACCCAGTTCTGGAATCCAACTGAGTGCAGATCATGTTTTCAAGAAGCAGTTTCATTTCTTCATCCATATTCATTGATTCCTTCAGTTACTACGCACTGAGCAACTTTGTGCCGGCCCTTATCCAAAGTGAGCCCTGAGTGAAACAAAAATAATTCTTTTCTCTCTTTTGTGAAAAAACAGTGTCTTCAAACCTTGTAAATAAATCATAGTAGTATTTAAAAAATGTCGTCAATAATTCCTTCTCATGCAGTCCTGGTGAGCATGTAAAATGGCGCAACCACAACAGAAAGCAGTTTGCCACTTTCTTACAAAGTTGGAAACAGAAAAAACATTTGATCCAGAATTCTTACAGTTGCTGTTAGGTGCCATCAAGTCAGTTATGCAGCACAGCGACCCTACGAACAGCAGATAGGAACGTTGCCTGATCCTGCCTGCACCTTCCTCACAACCCCGGTCAGGCTCAAAGTCCCTTGGGTAGCCATTGGGTCATCCATCTCGTCCATGCTCTTCTTTTCTTTCATTAACCCTTTACCTTTCCCAGCATGATGTCACTTTCCAGGGGACTAGTTCTTCTGGAAATAAGCTCAAAGTGAGTGAGGAAGAGTTTCCGCTCCCTTGCCCCTCAGGGACACTCAGGCTGTCCTTCCTTTAGGATAGATCTGTTTGTTCTTTTGGCGTGGCATGGTCTATTCAGTACTCTTCACCAACACCGCAACTCAAAGGCATCGACTCTTCTTCTGTCATCTTTATTTATGTCCAAATTTCAGATGCATAGGAAACAACTGAAAAGACCATGGCAGATGGACTTGGGTGGGGGAAGACAGGAAAAGAATGAGTAGATAATGAACACTGCACTGGAACAGGTGAAGGAAAGGACAATCTAAATGGAACAGAGTTGGAAATTATGCATATGAGAATTAATAGCCTGGAACAGGACAAACATTACAAAGGGAACTGGTGCGGGGAATAAAATGTGCATGAATGGAGGAATGAAAACCAATTTCTTTGTGGACTTTCACTAAAGTAGAAAAATAAATTTGGAAAAGAAGTTCAAACTAAAAAAAAAAAGAAAAGACTGTGGCTTGGATCATGCACACCTGCAATTTCACTAGAAGGTTTATATCCCAAAGAAATAAGAGCTACAACACCAACTGACATCCACAAACCCATGCTTATTGCAGCATTCTCTACAACAGGAAAGAGTTGGAAACAACCTAAGGGTCCATCAATGGGTGAATGTTTAAAGAGACTATGATACGTCACACAATAGAGGACTACGCATTCACTAAAAAATTATTAAGAATTTGTGAAAGAAAAGAATTTGTGAAATACTATAGAACACAGATGACTCTAGAACAAATTCTGCTGAGTTTGACAAGTCAGTCACAAAAAGACAATTATGATATGTCATAGTGTCCCATCAAGTCAGAACTGACTCACAGCTGACCCTCCAGCAGGTTTTCAGAGGCAATAAATCATATAGGAGGAGACTGTACATCTTTCTCCCCCAGAGCAGCTAGTAGATTCAAACCATATGCCTTTGAATTGGCAGCACAGCTCTTTAGCACTAAGCTACCAGAGCTTGCTATTATGGTATAAGACTACAAATATAAAAAGCTAAAGAAAAGTTTATATACAAATAGAATCAATCTTGGAGAGTTAATAGGGAATTAGAATAAAAAGAGAGAAAAGCAAAAATTAATAAGTTGGATGAAAAAGTAATCATATATATATATAAAATACAATAGAAAAATAATCGACAATCTACAATAAGGGTTTAATTAGACATTGTCATTAATTACAGTGGTAATGGTGGTTTTCCATTAAGTCAGAACAGACTCCTAGCTGATTTAACAGTGGCTTCGCAGAGGCAATAAATCACACAGGAAGCAATTGCCTATCTTTCTCCTAAAATTAATGACACTAATCAATTGTAATTTTTTTAAAAATTGTGATGTTTTAAGACAAAATGTCCATGAATGATTGGATGAAAAAGTAATCTGATTTGTAATCTTTCACTCAAACTTTCAAAAAAATCATCTCTGTTCACATTTCCTTTGTAGGCTGACATTTCTGAAGGTGTGGACCTTTCAAACCTTCCCATTTCTTTTGTGCTGCTATTGAAATATGTCTCTTCTGCAGATTTTTGCTTTAGGGCTCCTTTTCCAGGACTCCAGGGGAGCAAAGAAGAAGAGTACTCAGTGGAGTCCAAAAGGACACATCTGACTGCGACACAATACAGAGAAACCTAAATGTCTTAACATTAAATTATTATAATGGAGCATTTGTTGTTGTTATGTGCCGTCGAGTCGCTTGCGACTCATAG